CCGACGAGGCTGGTCCCTCGCTTGTGGCTGGTCGCTGGCCATCGCCGTGGCTGGCCACGGGCTTAGGAAGAAGGAAAAATAAAAGAAAAATAATAAATAATAAATATTTTTTATTTTTTTTCAAAAATATTTTTATAAAAAAGAATGTTTCATTAACTAAGAACCCGAGTCTGAGCGTCAAGGACCTAAGAGCTCGGTGTTTTTGAAACCGGGCCTAAAGTGCCGGGAACCGGAGCTCGAGCATTAAGTACACAAGCATGGCATTTATGGACCCGAGCTTAAGTGTTGGGACATCGGGCATGGGCACCAGGGCTTCGGGCCCATCCTTGATGGACCTAGGCGTGGGCGCCGGGGCACCTAGCCCAGGTAGTGGGGTCCTAGGCTCAGTCTCGATGGACTCGCACTCTGGCACAGGAGACGTGCCCACTCAAGAATCAGCGTTGGGTTTCCGTGCTCAAATGAAAATCTTCCGGTCTAAGTGTCGATACCTAGTCATATTATAGAAAAAAAATTTTGTTTTTCAAAGAGGAAATCATTTTCCTAAAAAGCATAGGTTTTCAGTTGACTCATTTCCTAATCGAACCAAACGCCGAAATATGAGAAAATATTTTTCGCAAAACAAACGGAGCCTAAATTTAATGTATTAACTATATAACTGAATTTTACATATATTATCATCCACGTATGAAACTTGTACGAATTATTTTAGATTGAAGACGGACCTAATGTGTATGTTCTCTTTCTTCTTCTGAAGCTGAAGCAACCGTTTTGGGCCACTATAGTCCGCTTTTTTCCCTAGCCCAATTTCAGGAGTAAAAATTCCATTTCATCATCCAAGCCCACTTGAAGAGCATCAAGGTCCAGCTCTCATAATTTCTATCTTTCACTACAACATCACATGACCATGGCTCACTTATTTTCTTTTTCTTTTTCTTTTTCTTTCTTGATAATTCACGAGACGGTTGTAATCAGCAGGCTATCTAGAGGGGAACTAGCTCAGCTACCCAATCGTCATGGCCCTCACTTGAATATGATTTACGAGTTCCTGGAGACCTGAATCTAACCCACAGCCAGTGGTTTTTGAGCCGAAAGTAAGGGAACATCCTCACCATCGGGTCAATCCCGGGATGAGTGGTATGGATCAATTATTGATCAAACTCGTTCACCCAAAGATGTAAGTCTCACTCCAAGAGGCCTATGTAGAATGGATCCATATTTAGGTGAGACAATAAGGAAAAGGGAATCACTATGGCGACTTCATGAAAGAGGAAGCCCAAATTGCAACATTCCGAAGTCCCACGTTGGATTAAGAGGCCTTGTTCAATAATATATTGTGTGTGTAAGCATCATCTTCCATATGGTTACGGCCTTATGTGATTACTTAGAATATTTCTTTTGTGAGCTTGACTCACATGAAATGAATCGGGTCGTTACGCGAAATTTTCAAACATCGGAAAACACAAAAGGGTCCACAGTCGTCCTAATCGATGTTAGATCTCAAAGGCCATGGAAAGTTAACTTTCGCGTCCCTTCTTTTGCATGCCAAGTACAAAAATATATTACTATAGGCTTTCTTTTATCCTATCCAACTTTGAATCATGGTGCTCCAACGTAATCGAGATGTTCTATCGGCCCAACAAATCAAACAGAATCACATCAAAATTGAAAATAACCAAGAGCCCACAGCTCATTACCAAATTGAGATTTACACGTCCATAATTTCAATCTACGACTAACATACCCCGCTAATTGAACGTATAGCTATCGAAATGGGTTAACTTTATATATGATGGGCTAAGTTGTTATATGGATAAGTTATATTCAAGAAATGGATCATAAATGAGTTTAAACATAATGTAGGTGTTAAATGAGTTATAAATGGGTTTACAACTTACTTAGATTCAACTCACCTTTATAACTCTTCTCATTTTCTCTCGCCCACTCGATCTCGCGCTCGCTTACTTTGCACTCTCCCCTCAGTTTAGGTATGCGTGTTCGTAAATTGAGTTGAATATGGAAATGTTTTAGCAATACGGGTCGGGTAGGGTATGAGTCACTAGATAATGAGTCAAAACGGGTTAAATATATCTATTTGGGTCGGACCATATTCAACCCAATCCGACCCACTAGTTTTTTTTTAGGGGAGGGGGGGAAGATCAGAATAAGATTTCATTACTAACTTGAAATAGAAGACGCCCAACATAATAAATTCCAAAGTGGAGCAGAAGGATTGGCAGGCCAATCTCGGGTTAAGAGCCGATTGCGTTGGGCCTCTGCCAACCAGTCCGCGGCCCGATTTCTGCCGACCAGTCCGCGACCCACTCGTTTGACTGGTGTGATTAAATGCACGTAAGATTTCTGCCCCCAATTGATCACATGATAACAGATAACAGGAATTTTTTTGTATGTACATACACGTCCCCGTGCTAGTTTCGAAATTACGGATCTACCCACTAAGTCCCACCCGACGGTAACATTCCCGTCGACTTTACTCCCTCTCGAACCATTATTAATCCAAAGGGTTTATACCACGAAAAACCTCAAATTGATATATTTGTGACAATTTTACCCCGAATTAATTTTTTGATCATAAAAAACCCCAAACTTGTACACATATGATAAATTTACCTTAAAATAATTTTTTCATTACTAAAAACCCCAAACTGGTACGCATGTGACAATTCTACCCTAAGCTAATTTTTTGACCACCAAAAATCGCAAACTGGTATATCTATAACAAATTTATCCAAACTAATTTTTTGATCACAAAAAACCCCAAACTGGTACACTTGTGATAAATTTACCCTCTGTTAAATTGGATTAATATCACGGAAAACCAAAAATTCGTAAACTTGTGACAAACATAGGGGTAAAACCCCAAACTGGTACACCCGTCAACTACCACGTGTCATCAAATTCAGCAATTTAACAGTAAAATTTAACGAAAATTAACAGAGGGTAAATTTGTTACAGGTGTACCGGTTTGGGGTATTTCGTGGTCAAAAAATTAGTTCGGGGTAAAATTATCACATGTGTACTAGTTTGTAATTTTTCGTGGTAAAAAAATTAGTTCAGGATAAAATTGTCACAGGTGTATCAATTTTGAATTTTTCGTGATCAAAAAATTAATTTTGGATAAATTTGTCATAGGCGTATTAACTTGAGATTTTTCGTAATATTAACCCTAATCCAAAACGCCTGTCCATCATTTGCCACAGCTAACGTCCACCAATCACCCCGTGATCCAGACACGTGATTGGAGGGCAAAAAAGGTTTCAATTCGTGGATAACGTCTCCAATATCGCATGCAGAACATGTCAAAAGTCAATGCACTTTCTAGCTTTCCTTGGACATTAATCCAAGACATCTCATTGCCATTCTCTTGTTACGTGTAATCGACGCATTGAAAGCGAAAATACTTCCTCGTTGAAATACGATCAGCAAATATTTCAAAGACACTCGTCAAGGAATCGTGCACCCACTTAACATTACATCCTTCGTGCATAGAAATTACGGGGGATTCCCACCAAGAATGTGGATTGGTTTAATGCTAGAGTCGCACCATGCTAGTGATGAAACCGAACTTTCGGTCGATTTAGGTAATTAGAAAAGAAGATTATTTTCCATTTAGGGTGTGCCATTTGAGTAATGGAAAAAGCGACCGCCCAAAAATTTAGTTTTGAAATTTAATGCTTTCGCGTGCATAAATAAATCAACTGGGAAGAAGAAAAACTAATGTTCAAATTCTACCCCGTAAATTGTGGCCACTTTCACTTTTATTTCTTTGTTAGCGCCATTTAATTCGAGTTTTTACTGAAATTATTCTCCATCTTCACTAATGCTACGATGTTCCATTTTCGGAACTTGAAAATATAAAAAGCACTTGGTAAAAAAAAATAGTCAATGTTTTACGGGCGGGAAAACTTGTAATATATAAGGTTTATACCACGAAAAGCCCCAAACTGGTATATCAGTGATAAATTTATTTAAAACTAAATTTTTTACCATAAAAAACCCCAAACTGGTATATCTATGATATATTTACCATAAACTAATTTTTTGACTATCAAAAACCCCAAACTGGTACATTTGTGACAAATTTATCATTTTCGTTTAATTGGATTAATATCACGAAAAATCACAAAATGATACACCTACGACAGACGGAGGGTAAAACCCCAAACTAGTATACCGTCAATTGCCACGTGTTATCCAATTTAACGAAAACTAACAAAGGGTAAAATTGTCATAAGTGTATCGGTTTATGATTTTTCGTGGTACTGCTGCATATCGTTTAACAAAACAATTTTGTACTAAAATTTAACAGAAACAAACCGAGGATAAATTTGTCACAAGTGTATCAGTTTAGGGTTTTTGGTTGTCGAAAAATTAGTTTGGGGTATATTAGTCAGAGATACACTAATTTAGAATTTTTCGTGATATTAATTTAAAAAATAATTTAAAATAAATTTATCATAAATATATCAATTTGGGATTTTTCATGATATTACCCTAATATTTATAACCTCCACCCTGCGAGCATGCGTAGATGATATTTTTGACGTAAAATGAATGAAGGTGGCAGCACGAGAGGGGAGGGGAGGTGGACTCGTGGGTACGGCACGTGCGTACGGCTACTCCGAGTGATCCGTAGCCCTGCCAGGTGCATGCGCAACCACCACCGTTCGATTAGATTTTGCCTTCTCTTTCTTCTTTTTCGTTTCGCCATTTATTATAATCAAGCGCCATCCCGCTTCAATAAAAAGGGCAAAAAGAACAGAATAAAAATGGAGGGAAAGAGAGGGCATCATCGTCAGAAACAGACACGAAGACGCGTCTGTCGTTTCCAGCCTGGCACGTCCCCACAAAACCACAAAAGGACAACCCTCGCTCGCTTATTTCCCATAATACCCCTCCCATCTCCCTCTCTTGCTCGCTTGCTCACCCCCATCAACACCGCACCAATCAACCACCTCCCATCAGACCCCCATTCTCTGATTCCTCCTCCCACCACCAACCACCACCACCACCACCATGCCTCCGCCGCCTCACCATTTCCTCTTCTCCCTCCTCCTCATCTCCGCCGCCGCCTCCTCCTCCGCCGCCGTCGCCGGCCTCCCGGAGTTCCGAGAAGCCCCCGCGTTCCGGAACGGCAGGGAATGCCCCCAGGCGACGTCGGGGCCGACGCGCCGGCCTGGGAGCGGCGGCGCCGGCGACGACGGCACCACCATCCACATCGCCATGACCCTCGACACCACCTACCTCCGGGGCTCCGTCGCCGGCGTCTTCTCCGTCCTCCAGCACGCCTCCTGCCCCGAGAACATCGTCTTCCACTTCGTCGCCGCCTCCCGCCGCCGCCCCGACCTCCGCCGCACCGTCGCCTCCACCTTCCCCTACCTCACCTTCCGCCTCTACCACTTCAACGCCGACCTCGTCCGCGGCAAGATCACCTACTCCATCCGCCGCGCCCTGGACCAGCCCCTCAACTACGCCCGGATGTACCTGGCCGACCTCCTCCCCACCTCCGTCCGCCGCATCATCTACTTCGACTCCGACCTCATCGTCGTCGACGACGTGGCCAAGCTCTGGTCCATCGACCTCCGCGACCGCGTCCTCGGGGCCCCCGAGTACTGCCACGCCAACTTCACCGCCTACTTCACCCCGCGGTTCTGGTCCAGCCCCGCCCACGCGGCGGCGCTCCGGGGGCGGAGGCCCTGCTACTTCAACACGGGCGTGATGGTGATCGACCTGTGGAGATGGCGAGAGGGCAGGTACACGGAGCGGTTGGAGGGGTGGATGAGGATACAGAAGAGGGAGAGGATCTACGAGCTGGGGTCCCTGCCGCCGTTCCTGCTGGTGTTCGCCGGCGAGGTGGAGGGGGTGGATCACCGCTGGAACCAGCACGGGCTGGGAGGGGACAATGTGAGGGGGCAGTGCCGGAACCTGCACCCGGGCCCGGTGAGCCTCCTCCACTGGAGCGGCAAGGGAAAGCCGTGGCTGCGGCTCGACTCGCAGCGGCCGTGCCCGCTGGACTCGCTGTGGCAGCCGTACGACCTGCTGCGCCACCCGTCGCTGTTCTCCGACAGCTGAGCACGGGGGGGAGGAAAGGGAGGGGAGCAGGCAGGGGGTGGCTACGGCGGAGCGACGGCGGGGGAGCGACGGCGTAATTAAGGGGAGCGAGTGGGAGTGAGAATGGAGAGCGAAAAAGGGACAAGACGACAGCGTCACCGTCAGGCGTAAAAGCTGCGAGAATTACGGTCGTTGAAACTTGAAAGGTTGATTTTCAGGCAGACCGCCTGTGATTGTCAAGTATGCGACTGACCAACGACGTCGTATCCTCCAATCTAATTTCAGAGAAAATAAAAAAAAATAAAAAAAAATACGAATAAAGCCGCCGACAGAGAGAGAGAGAGAGAGAGAGACGGGACGGGGTAATTTTATTTCGGGGCTGGACCTGGACTCGGAGGATACGACGTCGCTTTCTGCGCTGCTGAAATCATCATCATCACCGTCACGTAATTGCGGGGAAGGTACAGTCGCCTGTGTTTTTTGTTTTTCTACCCCATTTTTGTTGGGGTTTGATTCGTTTTTCTTTTCAGATTTTAACAATATTGTATATAAGTGCTGGGCATCATGGGTATTGCTGTTTGTAGAACCTGTTCTCGGACCATGGTGGAATTGTGATTATTTGTGATGGTGGTTGAGTGCAAATTTTTTTTGTTCCTTACGTAATGTGATTCGTACAACATTGGATGCCGATGGCATCGGTTGGGGTTCGATTTGAGCCTTCCGGGAATGATTGAGGTGGGATCCGTCCCAGCAGCACATGAGTCCCACAGTCGGATGAGCGGGCCCACGTCGTCCAAAGGTGCACAGCACTTGTGAAGTCCGGAAATTTCGTAATAATAAATATGTGACGTTGGAATTTTTCTATATTCGATAATGATACTTAAATTATAAGCTAAGTATTATTTAGCTTAGTATTTGAGCGGACGCGTAGAAATCGTTGTTGGACCGTAAATTGTGAGTCGTGGATTCGAGAACGTAATCGTTCCGAACTCGACGTGTTTGGAATTTTAAACGTTGTTGTGTACGTTAATGGTAGTGCGGTATTAATTATTTTACCGTTGTCTTAGTAATTAATATGTAATATTATTAGATTAAATTTTAGTTAATTAGTGATAATCATTATTTTCTAATTGCCGTTAAGGGGGGAAGATATTCTGTTTTTCTCACAAAATTCCCTCAAAACACCTTACTCTCACGTGGCTTCTGAAGGATTTAACCATGGTCACGTGCCACATGCCCTCTTAAGATAAGCTTCTTGTTTTAGCTTGACACCAAGCCATAGGCCATCATTTTATTTGACCATTACTCTTTCCTAATATGCCTTGATTTCTTACACTTGGCCATGGATGGAAAGAGGAAGTGCCACCTGTGAGTGCATGCATTTATCCACATCACAATCTACTCCTTTGTTTCATTTTTACCTTACATTTATCCACTTCACAATCTACTCCTTTGTTTTATTTTTACCTAGGTAACATCGAAGGGAATTTTCACCCCCAGACGATAACTCTTTTTCACCGTCAATCTTCAAAGAGATTTTACTTCATTAACACCCGATCCAAAATCTACAAGCTGGCTTTGGGCGTTCAGATTTTAGGCGAGATAAATGAAGACTCTAGATTTAAACTAATTAAATCTTTTTAACGCTTTTTAATTTGGTTGCTTGAGAAATGCTATTTTGATGTGTGAAAATAGTGAGGTTATAGTGATGGTTGGATCTGTTTTACTAGTTTTGTACATGTTCAAATGGGTGTGATTTGTTTCCTTAAAGTGTGGCGAAAATCGGCAAGTGCAATTGTTTAAATTTGAACGTGTAAATGTCATCTTTGAGGTGATTGTGGAAATTGTCTTGCTGGTTTTATATATGTTTAAAACGGTAGAAAATCGTTTTACTCAAAGTGGAGTATCTTATGTGAGTGTAAATGATGATTCTATTTACTTCTGAAATGAGCAGATTTTAACCTCAAATCCTGATTCTGTTTACTTCTGAGTTGAACATATTTTAGTATCAAATTTTGGTTCTGGTTACTTTTAAAATTGAACAAACTTTACTTTGGACATATGTGTTTTGAACCCGAGTTGACTTTTTTTTCAAAGTCTAGATATATGTATTTTGAACCCGAGTAGACTTTATTTTCAAAATCTGGACATATGTATTTTGAACCCGATTAGACTTTATTTTCAAAATCTGGACATATGTATTTTGAAACCAAGTAGACTTTATTTTCAAAGTCTTGACGTTTGTATTTTGAACTCGAGTAGACTTTATTTTCAAAGTCTTGACGCTTGTATTTTGAACTCGAGTAGACTTTATTTTCAAAGTCTGGACATATGTATTTTAAATTCGAGTAGACTTTACTTTCAAAGTCTGGATAAATACATTTTCTAAACCGAGAAAGTTTTATCTCAAAATCTGGATATGTGTACTTTCTGAACTTGAACAGACTTTAGCCTTTTGAGTCTGAACCTGTGTTGCTTCATATTTATTTGCTCATATGATGCTTTTCATTTCTTTAAAGGATATGTGATGTGAAAAAAAGGTGAGTATATGCATACAAATATTTATTTGTCATGTCTTGCATGCAAATAATATAAATTCCGTCACCCATAAAATTCAACGGTGACGATGCCCCATGTGTCGGTATGCCCCATTGGTCGAAATTTCTTGGACAGTGTACCGAGATGCCTCGGGAGTTGAGATGCCCCGTTGGTCGGGATACCCTAGATGGTGTACCGGGATGCCTCGGAGTTAGAATGCCCCGGGAGTGTTTGGGAGGAAGAAGTAATAAACCTAACGCATGAGCATGAATGTTTTACATCATATGCTCGTGTCTGAGTAAAAGTATTGTGAAATATTGAATTGCTAAGATTTTGTGGCATATCCAAACGGAAAAGGTATAATATTCATTTAAGTTCTATGTATACTGTTTGTTATGCATGTATGTTGTTTGTGCCAGGTGAGGTGGTAAGCTAATTTTCTTAACTTTAAACTAGAGATTTCATTTACTGGGCCTCGGCCCATTCCTTTATTTTTCAAACATGTAGGATGGATCTTCCACAGTCTCTGCGTTTTGGAGTTCCCGTATATCATGAAACTGTCTATGAAAATGTGTTTGTGCTCGAGTCTGAAGCATCATATACTAAGTGTAGCTCTACTGTCTGGGTTGATGTGGGCTTTATGGAGTAGGTTCCTTATCGGTTCGTTGCGTGGTACTGTAATCTCGACGGTGAGTTAGTTGGCCCGTTGAGGGGTTTTTACATAGCTAAGGATGATCCCGCATCGGAGGGTGAAGTTATCGATACGTGACGTCACCAGACTTTTGTCCAGGCAGACTTTTGGAGTATAACTTAGTATGGAGATAGGCAGCCTAGACCTATCCAGACTTTTGTTTTTTGTGATTATATGATATTTGTCTGGACTTGTAAATCTGACAAGTGTTGTTAATAAGAAGCATAAGTATGTTGACCAAACTTGTGTGATTTTCATGTCTAAAATATGTTCAGACTTTAAATTCCGCTGGCTTGATTATTAATAAATATTAGTAATAATAAAAGACACGTATCGCGGGTGACGTTCTGGGGCGTCACAGCGCTAGAGCTCACGTTCACCGGGATCATGTTGCATTGCCGATGGTTAGGTCGTGTTTGGCGTACGTTAGTGCTCATGACTTGAAAATCGTCGAGAAATGCGATCCCTCTGATTGCTTTGCTCCGCCTTCTGTTAGGGTAGATTAACAGCTGAGGATGGCAATAGAAATGTATGTGAGGTTCAAAATATCCATTGTTTCTAAACTTGAAGGGGAGAACAAACTATACAGCCTAATAGCTTCTAGGCATTCGCACTTAATGTGATTTATATAACAGCGCATTGTATTGCTAATCATCGGTTATCAAGTGGGCAGAGGCTTGACTTGTAGCAAGAGGAGCATAGTCAAATTATGACCACGCCTAACTAGTAATTGCCCAAGTATTTCTAGAGTTTGGATGGTTAGCCTTTTACTTCTTCTTTTTTTCCAATTTCGGGTCAAATTTTTATCGATCCCTACAATCAATCTCCTGATTCGGCGGGTTATAGATATCAACATGACCCAAGAAAGTCGGTATATGTAAGTAATTATTATGGAAATGAGTAATATCAAGCATACTAAGAGCAATGTTTTACAGAGTGTAAGCGATGCGAGACTCTTAGTGGCCCTACAACACGATTCACTTATTAGAAAATCATTCATTGTCTTTCGTAAATCAATTATAATAGAGTAATCTTAGTAAACCCAATATTACGCACAGTATAAAATCATCTCTTGAGTGAGCCAATGCCAATGACGGGTTCCATTCCAATACTTTGAAATTGAAAACGGGCATTGAAAGCCGAGAGGGGACTTCACGTGCAACGCTGATCGACCTTGTTAAGCAAAACAACATTAGTGTTTTTTAGGTCATGAAAAGTACAAGAGGCCCAGCAGTCGAGAACTTAAAGATTAAGTTAAACCGACATTTCCAGTTAACACACAACTCGGACTCTGAGATTTGATTAGATTACTACTTAAAATCAGTCCTCCTCGGAGCCATCTAATTTTCTCACACCAAGGTCGAATCGCCTAGGCCATTGTAATTCCCTATTCTTCTTTTTTTCGCCAAAATCGACACACGGTCAATCGTAATAGGATAACAATGTAAGAAACAACTAAAAAATTGATTGAGTGATCAAATACTTAGCTCGGATATGACAGACGACACGTAAGAATCACATCTCCGCTCAAATTAACCTTATGGGCTACGCATGGCGCACTTTGTGAATTACCTGATGCACGTGTATGTGACAATTCATGTGCATCCGTTAAAAAAAGAAGAAGCTCTAACTAAGGATTGAACCCCGTTTGGTTGTTCACGTCGGAATTATGGATCCACTGTCTCGATTTATCCCGACTTAGATATCGTGTTTGACAAAGTATGATTCTCGAGGCACAAAATGAAAACCTTCTCAACATTTAGTTAACTCATTAATGTCGGGAATTTTTATAAACAATACACAACCTCCGTACTCTTATTATTTTTACACAATCCTACATTCATTATCATTAATGAGGTATTCATAATCTAAAAAAATTGACAACTATCCAAATCAATGGCGAAAGAAGTGTGGGATGTGTAAAAGAGAAAGAAGACGCATATGGCGCACTTTAAATTTTTCCCAGTTTTAGACGGACCCCAAATGTTATTACCCAAATAGCAAATTATGAGTTGGGCGCTTTAACCATTTAGCCAGGAATGCTTAGCCGGGTGAATGGTTAGATTAACTGGCCGACTAGACTAGAGAAAGATAATTCAATAAACTTCCATTTTCCTGCCTATTAACAGTACTAATGATGATGATGATAATAATAATAATGAGAAAACAACTTTGAATTTGGGGAATTAAGTAAGCGGGGGGGTGTGGATCCAGATGGTCCGGGCTGGTGGGTCTTGTGGGCACGGCACGATCTCCCATGGTGCACCATCTGGGAAGTGGGGGACGACAGCCTCCTTCACTTCCCCAACTATATATAAAGGGCCTCTCCACGATCCCACCAATTCATCCCCATTCCCTTTCCCATTTTTAAAATCATCACTAACACTTGCGATTTCCATAGGGAGTTTGAGGAATGAAGACGATGATGGTGATGATCGGCAGCCCTTCTTGTGGAGGAGCTCCCAAGAGAAGAGCGTTGAGCAGAGGAGTGGGCGGTGCGATCAGAGAGCAGAGAGCTAGGCTCTACATCATCCGGCGATGCATAGTCATGCTCCTGTGCTGGCACGATTGACAAATATTAGGAAAAAAAAAAACGGCGTAGAGCTTCGGAATTTGTTTTTTTTCCCCTCCCTTTCCTTATATTATATTGGGGTTTCTACGGGGAATGGAGGGTGTACATAGTATTGGCGAATTAGCAAGTTTTGTATCCGTCGGCATGGCAGATTAAATTACATAAGATTTTTCGATCTAGTTGCGTTATCGAAATCTATATCATTTTGACGGTGACGGGATCCAGATGTGTGCATGTAGCATCTTCAATGTCTCGTTTGGTGAACCGAATGAACTGCGAATGAAATAATTTCATTCCTGAGAATGTGCTTTCGTTGCTTTATTTCATTAGACACCAAACTCAAACGGAGTGGAATGGAGATCCCTCTAACTTGGTAAAATCCTCGTTCTATCCGTTAACCCAACAATCGGCATTCCTTTGGTACAAATTTGTCAGTTTTTCTACACAATAATTTTTTTTTATCAAGTCTGAACATTTCCTTCAAATTTGACATTTCATTGAATTTCGGACCTTGTTTCTCTATGAAAGTCAAATATAATATAATATTGCGCTTTGTTTTGCGAAAAATAAAATATTTTAAAAAAATTCCTAAAAATAATCACTCATATCCTTAGAAATAATTAGTCAAATAAAAATACTTGCATTATCGACAAAAAATTATTTATAAATATTTTCGTGGACGATGAAAATAATTTTCTTTTATTCATTTTTTTAAGCGATACAAATGATCATTTTAAGAAAATATTTTTTAAATCATTCGTTTTCCGCAAAACAAACCGAAACTCAATTTCGTTTTCACCTCTTTCGATTTTATTGCACCAAGTATGTTATAATTATCTTAGGGCTCGTTTGATGAAACTAGCAGATAATTGATGAAAATTTAAGTACTAAATATTAAGTGTTGAAGTCTTTTAAGTATTGGAAATGGAAATGAAAAGTTGTTTCATACCAGATGAATATTAAATTATGAATTTTATTCTTTTCTTACCAAACATAGAATAGAGAACATTATAGGAAGGTTTTTTTGACAATATGATTAGTAGGTTTTCAATTTTTATTGAATATTTTATCACTTGACTAATTAAGTGAGTACTTCCTTACTTACTGCATCAAGTGATTTTTGAAATAATACAATCAATAAATGACGTGTATTTGAGAGGTTATCAAACATATTTAATCAAGTGATGAAGATCAAATTTTCAGCACTTAATACTTGTCTGGTAAAACTGAAAAATATTTAAGTACTGAATTTTAAGCGTTGACAAGAAAATCTTGAACGTTGAAAATGGAAATAAAGTGGCTGAATGACAACTAAAATGGATCATTGAATGATATTAATTTCTTTCCAAACATGGAATTAGAATCAATGATATTTAGCGATGTAATTGGCAAGATTCTAATTATCATTAATTTTTTTCTATTGAACGAATAAGGTAACCACTTACTTCCTTATTAGATTAAGTATAATTTTACTTAATTGAGTTTACTAAATATAACTATCAAATATGCTTAATATCATTAAGTGCTGACTTTTTAATTTGCAGTGTTTAATTGGGATTATCAAGCAGGCCTTAAATGTCGTTATCAAACTCACCATGAGAATAATTTAATCTATGTCAATAATTTTAGTTTTTAGTCATGGTTTCTATAATTTTAATTTACCCTTAGAAGTGTGTGATTATTTGAACTACAACCAACTTGTCTAAAAACTTAAGTTGCTAGTATAGGTGTCAAAATGGTCCCAAACTCATTACTTAACTCATTTTTTTTACCAGAAAAAAAACTGTTTGACCAAACAAACTCATTTTTGATGGGCAATGGACTAGTTTTTTTTTGGGGGGGGGATAGAAATGGACTAGTTTATAAGTGGGTTGGTTAAAATGTTCGAAACGGGTTCAAATTGGTCCAAGAAATGTTTAAGCGTGCGTTTGGTTTGGCTTTTGAGAAAGTCTTTGGAAAAATACAAAGACCTTTAGGTTAAAGGGGATTTTTGAAATGAAAGTAGTGTTTGGTAAATTGTAATTTAAAAGTGCATTGGGAAATAACTTTTGATTTAAATGGTGTTTTCACACATTTTAAAGCATTTTTGCATTTTAAAAAATAAAAACTCAAAACCGGCGAATGACTCAGCGGTCGTCGAGACTCCGACAAGGCCAAATCTAGTTGCCGGCAGCCTCACTTGAGGTCGGGCGACCTCAAGTGACCATCGCCATATTTGGCTCGCCAACAGCTAGATTGTGCCTCGCCGAAGTCTCACAAGGGGCTCGCCGACAACATGAACCCTCATTGGTGATGTCGTGTGAGGTAGGGACATTTTGGGAATTATGAAAGTTCAAATAGAGTAAAATTGAAAAGAAAAAAATTTATCTGCATTCCGAGAGTACTTGAAGCTCGAAGCACCTTAAGATCTGCCTTGGGTTAAAGGTCTTTTGGAAATATAATTTCATCTTCCCAAAGCTCTCCAAAAATTTTGTCTGAGTGGTATTTGCCTTTGTCCAAGGGCCAAAAGTCCCTCGGGAAAGCAGTTCCCAAATCGAGCCTTGATCTACATGAGTTGGAAAAATAGCCATTTCAAGCCCATTTTTTTTACCACATAATCAGAACCCACTTTCGGCCCATATAGCTCTCCCATGCATGGTGCCCTCTCCCTCTGCTCCTCCTCCTCAACTTCCAGCTGCCTGCAGGATCACAGCTGCTCTCCTCCTCCTCCGGCTCGGGGCCGCTGCCTCGTCACCCAATTCGGTGGTCCCGAAGGGGCAAATCTTGGCGTTAAGCGATGGCTCCGTCACAGTGATGCTCGAGCTGTTGACGTTGTTGCGGACGAACTCGTAGACCAAGTAGATGAATTTCTCAGAAATTGAGACACCCAGGAGCTTGATTATGCTACCGTGCTAGCTCCCGGTGATGGCAGAGAGGCCATCGTGGAGCTAGGGCAGGTCGAGGGACCACACTAGGCAGTGCTAGAGGACAACGTCCTCTGGCTGAGAAGGGCGTAGCGCAAGGAGGAGGTGAGGCGGCCAAAGAGGAAGTTGTTGGTGGCCAGGCGGAGGTCGCAGAGTTTGTATTTGAGGGGGTGTCGGGCAAGAATTGCTTGTAGCTTGGATTGGGAGTGTTGTCGGGCCGACAGAGAGGATGAACTGGAGAAGAAATTGAAGCTATTTAAGATGAGAGAGGTCAAATACGACAAGATGGGTTGGAGGAGGAGCTAAAGGGCTTGGAGGTTTTTGAGGATTTGGATGATTGCACGTTGTTCTGTGGCTGGGTCGATTGCATCTACATATCCTTTTCATCTTCCTTCTTATTTGTTTCTTGTATGCTTGTCGCTTTAAGGCAAGCAAGGGTATGCAGCATTGATTTTATTACTTTTCTTTTTCAGATTTATTTAAATATACTAAAATTTGACCGACATTGAGGTAGCGGCAATGGGGCGGTGAGATGATGACATTCGGGGGTGAGCTTTGGGTCCGGTTCAACTAGGTAATCGGACCAAACTGGGTCGGCTTCCGATTTTGTTCAATGGGTGGTTGCTGTCGTCGTTGAAGGATTCTCTTTTTCTTTTTAGTAGCATTAGATTATTCACACTGTTGTTCGAATCTAAAGCCGGCCCATGACCATGCGGTGCTCGATTCCCAAGGCCAATATCGTGGGTTCTACTCGGGAACCAGTTCAGACCAATCCTTAATAGATTCAACTAGTCTGGTTCTCAGGTTGAACCGACCATTCAATCCGTTCATGTAGGTATTCTAGCCCGTCAGTGCTGTGCTCACCTATGTCTCTACGTTGCTTATGTTTTACAAGAAGTCCTAGCCCGCAGTCTGACTTGAGTACCCAAGCTCAGCTATCGACTTAGCGAACCGATCCACAGAGTCACCCATTTTTCAAAGGCAACAATTTAAGGAGCGAAATCGCTAAGAATAGAAGCCCGGGTTGGATCGGATATGGGTCGCTAAATTTGCATTGATTGGACCAATATTTTGTCCTACCTAATCCACCCGTTTGATAGGCTTATTTGCTAGGTTGTCGTGTTAAGCCCGTGCTTGCTGGGGTGTCATCCCTTAAAAGCCTTCACCTTATACTCGCTAGTCTCCTACCAATAGAAGTGGCGTGAAGACATCTTTAGGAACAGCTATTGGATAAACTCTCTAAATCCCAAAACAAAGGGGAGTGGGAGAAATGAATGTAAGAGTCTTTGTTGTGAAATGTTAGAGGACCGCTTTCTAACTTATTTAAAAGTTTAATAGATTGATACGTGATTTAATATTTAAATATATTAACATTCGTGAGTGCTTCATCCAGGGTCCTTGAGCTCATAGGTGTGAACTGTGAAGGGTTTGGTCCCCCTGGGCTCCATTCTATTATCGGTTCTATTAATTAGTGATTTAATATTTAAATATATCCGTTGATGGCGGGGAGTGATCGCCTTGACGAGAGGACTGGACAGGGAGCTTCTCTCGACAAGCTTTCAAGGATGGAAAATGGGACAAGAACGAACGGAATTGCACACTAAACCGAATAAAGCGTTTTTGGATTGTATATGCGAAAATGGAATTAACGCATAGGAGGAGGCACCCTTTTGAATTAATGACAACACTCAGCATTGAAAGCGTGCTCAAGTGAAAGTACTATTGGGATGAGTGACCTCCCGAGAAAGCTTCTACACGTACGCCAAAGGATGAAATTGCGAGGCTTATTATAGAAGAACGGATTAAGGCAGACAATAGCTCGAGCGACGCATGGATACCTTAGCTAGAATCCACCTCACAGCTAAAGCATTCAAACGTCCCGAAATTTCCAAAAACACCCCCACCAAGGGCATCAAGCGATGCATTCCCCCACTTCCACGGGAGTTCCGTACTTTTCGAAGTGTAAACATGCTGAGATTGATTTCTATCCCGAGCAATTCGCCCGCTATCAAAGTCTCAACCGAGACTCGCGCTTCACGATCGAACGCTCCTGTCGAAGATCCTTCGATTATCCGCTGATGTGTTCGACCAGGAATT